CCTTAGCGGTATCGCTGCTGCGGGTACTGCTGCTGCCGCCTGGCCGGCGCGTCAGAAGCCCAAATATACTCTTTAGATCGCATCTGCCGCACAGGGGGAGCGGTGCGGCAGACAGACATGCGGAGCTAGCGTGTAGTCGGCGAAACGCAGGGGATTTCTGGACAAAAAACCATTGCATATTAGTTCGTACGTTTCCCGGGGTGAGGGTGGATGTGGGTTCGGTCCGTTAGTGAACCCGTAGGGGTACCATCCCTATGCGAACACTGCAGCGGAGCTTTCTAACCAACAACGCATAGCCAATCGAATCCAAATCAAGTCGCGTCGTCACGTTGGTGAAGGCTACTGGCTTTTACTGTAAATCACAGCAGGAATCAATCCCCAATCCCTTCGTTCCTGCGTCTTTAAAAAAAACCGTGTTGAATATTGAATAAAGCCTGGGTTTTTTATGAATAATCCATGCTTCTTTGATAGAGTCCCACTGCACTGCTGCTGTTGCGGCTCTCCTATCCGGGTAGTTTCTGTTTTCTCTTTCCCCCTCTTCTTTTTTGCTCTCTTCCTTACCTTGTTGATGAAAATAAGCTGACTATGGCCCTCCCTTCTCCCAAAAGTATAACGCATCCGGTAGAGATGTGTGTGCGTGGTCCCGTACCCCTGCGCTGGAGATAGGCGGGCGGGGGGGATAGAGGGAGGAGGGGTTCGAACCGAGAGATCGGCTATCCATTACGTAGACACGTGGTTTCCACATCATCACCTACGAACGAGACGCTCCCCCAGTTTCGGTAAAAGTGACTCGAGATATCGTCACTTCACCGGCCAGCTTGCTCTTTCCCGTCTTTTCCAGTCACTTCCAAACCGTGATTGGAATTCGCCATTGCTGTAGCTTACTGTAGTTCGGTTCGGCGGCCCTCAGGGGGGGGGGGGGGGGGGGGGGCACAACTGTTCTTCATTGTGAAGCCAGATAACCGAACAGAGCAAGATTTCTGTGCAGCTGCTTCAATGCTACAGGTCGTCATACTGTACATGGCATTCACCTGTTCCGTCCCAACACACAACCAGAGAGAACAGAGGCTGGGTGAAACGTCCAGAGCGTTGTAGAGCCATATGGAACATGATAGAACAACAATTATACTGTAGTTTATTGATAAGTGCTCTCTAGCTAGAAATCTTAATGTGTGTGTGGGTGTGTGTGTCCAGCAGATGCAGTGAAGTGCAGCGTTTGCAGCATTGAGCAGCGTTTTGTTGGCTATAACCGCTCTCCGTGGTCCCGACCTGCTCCACTCGCATAGCACCAGCTCGACAGGTGGTGCTGAAAGGACAGCGCCAGGATCAGCATCATATCAGCCGCGACGCATTCTCCCATTTTCCCTGCATGTTCTGCCCCATATAATTAGTTTAGAGTCTAAATCTCGACAAGAGAGCCATATTGCCCAGCCTTGAACCACCAAGAAAGATTAAATCATAGCAATATTATATGTTATTTGTAAAGTGATTTTCAAGACACCCCAAAGCTCTTTAGCCTGCGTTCATTTAAAAAGCCCCAAAAGAGCTCTCAGCTGTGTTGACTGAGCGGCTGATAACTCTATTCATACCAGGCACGACCGCTTTATTTGAACAACGTTGTTTAGTCACTTCTCAGTGTTCAAGGCCAAAGCTTAGCGCCATTACACAACAAAGAAACAGCTCAGAACATTGCAGCAGGTGAGAAGTGGTAAAAGACTGCGTAGGAGGTAGGCAGTGGTGGGTATAGAACCACCACAATCGACACAGTCACTTCTGTCAAAACTCTTTTCACTTTTCTTAAAATGTGTTTCTACATCTATGGCTGTAATATATATACAGTACCAGTCAAACGTTTGGACACACCTACTCATTCAAGGGTTTTTCTTTATTGTTACTATTTTCTACATTGTAGAATAATAGTGAAGACATCAAAACTATGAAATAACACATATGGAATCATGTAGTAACCAAAAAAGTATTAAACAAATCAAACTATATTTTATATTTGAGATTCTTTAAAGTAGCCACCCTTTGCCTTGATGACAGCTTTACACACTCTTGGCATTCTCTCAACCAGCTTCATGAGGTAGTCACCTGGAATGCATTTCAATTAACAGGTGTGCCTTGTTAAAAGTCAATTTGTGGAATTTCTTTCCTTCTTAATGCGTTTCAGCCAATCAGTTGTGTTGTGACAAGGTAGGGTTGGTATACAGAAGATAGCCCTATTTGGTAAAAGACCAAGTCCATATTATGGCAAGAACAGCTCAAATAAGCAAAGAGAAACGACAGTCCATCATTACTTTAAGACATGAAGGTCAGTCAATATGGAACATTTCAAGAACTTTTAAAGTTTCTTCAAGTGCACTCGCAAAAACCATCAAATCGCTATGATGAAACTAGCTCTCATGAGGACCGCCACAGGAAAGAAAGACCCAGAGTTACCTCTGCTGCAGAGGATAAGTTACCAGCCTCAGAAATTGCAGCCCAAATAAATGCTTCACAGAGTTCAAGTAACAGACACATCTCAACATCAACTGTTCAGATGAGACTGCATGAATCAGGTCTTCATGGTCAAATTGCTGCAAAGAAACCACTACTAAAGGACACCAATAATAAGAAGAGACTTGCTTGGGCCAAGAAACACGAGCAATGGACATTAGACCGGTGGAAATCTGTCCTTTGGTCTGATGAGTCCAAATATGAGATTTTTGGTTCCAACCGCCGTGTCTTTGTGAGACGCAGAGTAGGTGAACGGATGATCTCTGCATGTGTGGTTCCCACCGTGAAGCATGGAGGAGGAGGTGTGATGGTGTGGGGGTGCTTTGCTGGTGACACTGTCAGTGATTTATTTAGAATTCAAGGCACACTTAACCAGCATGGCTACCACAGCATTCTGCAGCGATACGCCATCCCATCTGGTTTGCGCTTACAGGACAATGACCCAACACACCTCCAGGCTGTGTAAGGGCTATTTGACCAAGAAGGAGAGTAATGGAGTGCTGCATCAGATGACCTGGCCTCCACAATCACCTGACCTCAACCCAATTGAGATGGTTTGGGATGAGTTGGACCACAGAGTGAAGGAAAAGCAGCCAACAAGTGCTCAGCATATGTGGGAACTCCTTCAAGACTGTTGTAAAAGCATTCCAGGTGATGCTGGTTGAGAGAATGCCAAGAGTGTGCAACGCTGTCATCAAGGCAAAGGGTGGCTACTTTGAAGAATCTCAAATATAAAATATAACTTTTTGGTTACTACATGATTCCATATGTGTTATTTCATAGTTTGAAGTCTTCACTATTATTCTACAATTTAGAAAATAGTACAAATAAAGAAAAACCCTTGAATGTGTAGGTGTGTCCAAACTTTTGACTGGTACTGTATATACATTTTTATATATATATACAGTATATGTTATTTTTATTTCTTTGGATGATATTTCATAGGCTACACCCAGGCTGTAAAATCTGTGCCACTTTTTGCATTCCGTTCCAAAATAATTTTTCCTTCTACTCTCCTTGCCAGAGAGAGAAGGCTTGTTTTTCAAAATGAAATTCGGCCCTCATCTACCTCCGTTGTCAGAATGGAATTCGTTAACCCTCTACCAGAGCGAGTGAACAGTTGGAGTGTGTGAGAGAGAGAGCTCCTCATTCATTGATCTTTGTCACAGTACTGAATGGGCAGGCCACTCCTGGGACTATCATGTGGCTGCTCTGTCAGCCACCATTAAATAGCTGTCAATGATAGACCATGCTTGTACTGGGCCTTTCAGATTGTGTCTGCATCCCAAATGGCACACTATTCCTTACATAGTGCACTAGTATATTAAATAAAAACGTATCCCCTCTCTCTCTCTTCCCCCCTCTTTCCCTTGCTCATTATCTCTACTTCTCTCTCTCTCTCTCTCTCTCTTCTCTCTCTCTCTCTCTCTCTCTTCTCTCTCTCTTCTCTCTCTCTCTCTTTCTCTCTCTCTCTTCTCTCTGACAACTGTTTTCTCTCTCAGACAACACCTTTTACTTATTTTCAAGTCTTTGAAAAGAACACATATTGCATTCCAAAATATGTGTTCTACTCTATACAATCATTGTGGTCCATCAATAGTCAATATGCCCCAAGAGAGCTGTGGTGCGGTGTATGCGTGTGCTGCATCACTCAGAGAATGGAATTTTATTACAGCTAGGTCACACCAGAGGGGGGTCTCTAACATGATGACGCCCAAGCAGAAAGCCTCTACAGTACTATAGGCTTTAGCCTCTGGTGGGTAGAGAAGACTAGAGCACTCAGAAAGCCTCTACAGTACTATAGGCTTTAGCCTCTGGTGGGTAGAGAAGACTAGAGCACTCAGATGGGCGACCAGTATATTCAATCACATGCATTGGATTAGGACTGCAGTACATCGGAGAATAAAATAGGTTCATTCTATTGATGAACTACTGTCTATATGCTTGATTCATCACAGACACAATGTATAGGTGATTGTACCATATGTTCTTTATTCTATCATTTGAGACCAAAAACACAAAAACAAACAACATTAGCTATGTATCATTATAACCATTAAAAGGTTTTGGGATAGCAATAACTCTTCCCCAGTTGAGCTCAGACTTCCTTCAGCAGGCTACCAAACTCACCAATTGGTGAATCAGAGAGGTTTATGAGGCTCTCTGATTTTTGCTTAATATTACCACCTGCTGGCCATTCAAAACGCTCACAGGCAGCTCCACTGCCCATATAAACTAACTCTGCCCTAGGTGCCTAATGTAACTATTTCCCAGGTCATGGAAATGTAATAGATAATAATCAAATATCTTGAAAGTGTTTGAGAGAGAGACAGACAGACAGACTAACAGATAGATAGACAGACCGACAGACATACTTTGCTCCTCTCTCTGTCTCACATGTAGCCTGGTGAAATCAGCCTGATTGTGCAATAGCTCACGTTCTGTTGAAGTAAAACGAAACGAGAGCGCAGTGGTCAGTCTGCGTGACCAGGCTAACACTCTCACAGGTGCCAGATACTGTTCTTCCTCTTGCTGTGCTGCTGCTGGGCCAGACGGGAGAGCACCTGTCTTCTGTGAAATACCACCAGGCGGCGCTGTAGAGAACGGCTCACACCCTCCATGGTGACCTCACTCTGCCCGTACCTGGCCCCTGCTGTCCCCCGTTCCCAAAACACCTCACTGCAGCATAGCTAGGGGTAAAGAGGAGGATGGGAGGGGGGAGAAAAAGGGGGAGAGAGGGATAAATGATAGGGGCAACAGAGGGAGGAGGAGAGATCATAAATGTTGAGCATTTTTCAGTCTGAGAAAAGCTCTACCAGCATAATAACCCCAATCATTATTATAAATCCTTACAATGATGTCATCATGGTTAGCCTACCTGTTGGAGCCTCTTGCAGGTCTGGGAGATGTTCTTAATCTCTGTCCACTCCAGGAAAGACAGGATGTTCAGGAGCAGCCAATCAGGGAGCCGGACCAGGTAGTCATAGCGATGCCAGCACAGGTTCACCACGTAGTCCAGAGTGTGTGGACCAAACACTCGCCCTATGTGACCTGTGACGGGACCCCCCACACACATTCTCTTTCAATAAAATTTTATTTTAAATAGTAATAGGCTATTGGCATCTATTCTAAATAAATCATATGATCTTTGGAATTGGACAATACAATTATTTTATTGTGTATTCTTGCTATGGACCATTAAACGGATATTGTGGGAGTAGGCTCTCTCGTTCCATGTCTAGACTTGCCCATGGTCGGGTTGTTCAATATGACAGATTGATCGTTGGGTTTTATATGACATAATTATTTATGGAGAGTATGCACTTGTGTGACCTAAAATAACCTATCTCTCTAACACACACACACTCACACACACACACACACACACACACACACACACACACACACACACACACACACACACACACACACACACACACACACACACACACACACACACTCTACCTTGTGTGTGGCTATCCTGTAGGAAGTCTGTGTGTGATTTCTTGTTTTCTGCAGGTTGTGGTTTCTCGTGTCGTAGAGGACAGGACACTCTCCACACCCTGAAAACCACCTACGACCAAACCAGGTCTACATGATTACAAGTTAATACACAATAGCCTAACAGTTCACAGTGTACAAATGTAGCCAGTTAGTTACAAAACACATTTTGTTCACTTGACTGTGTAAATGACTATTCCCAATTACTGTGGAATTTAATGGGATGTTTTGTTCTTTACCATTTTTACATTTCTTTAAAACTCTACCATGTGTCTAGCCCGGAAACTGATCCACATCTGTAGCAGAGCCCTAAAGCTGATGAGATTTCCAGGGTTGCATTCCCTCCCTCCCCTCGGCTGACATACGTTATGAAACAGCTTCTAAATGCTGAACCTAAAAGACATCCAAAAGCCAGTGGAATGGACTAAGCTATGTGTCTGTACTGTTCCTGTAGCTGTAGGTGTCTGTACTGTTCCTGTAGCTGTAGGTGTCTGTACTGTTCCTGTTCCTGTAGGTGTCTGTACTGTTCCTGTTCCTGTAGGTGTCTGTACTGTTCCTGTTCCTGTTCCTGTTGGTGTCTGTACTGTTCCTGTAGGTGTCTGTGCTGTTCCTGTTCCTGTAGGTGTCTGTACTGTTCCTGTTCCTGTAGGTGTCTGTACTGTTCCTGTTCCTGTTCCTGTAGGTGTCTGTACTGTACCTGTGTCTGTAGGTGACTGTACTGTTCCTGTAGGTGTCTGTACTGTACCCGTGTCTGTAGGTGACTGTACTGTTCCTGTAGGTGTCTGTACTGTACCTGTATGTGTCTGTACTGTTCCTGTAGTTGTCTGTACTGTACCTGTGTCTGTAGGTGACTGTACTGTTCCTGTAGTTGTCTGTACTGTACCTGTGTCTGTAGGTGACTGTACTGTTCCTGTAGTTGTCTGTACTGTACCTGTGTCTGTAGGTGACTGTACTGTTCCTGTAGTTGTCTGTACTGTACCTGTGTCTGTAGGTGACTGTACTGTTCCTGTAGTTGTCTGTACTGTACCTGTGTCTGTAGGTGACTGTACTGTTCCTGTAGGTGTCTGTACTGTACCCGTGTCTGTAGGTGACTGTACTGTTCCTGTAGTTGTCTGTACTGTACCTGTGTCTGTAGGTGACTGTACTGTTCCTGTAGGTGTCTGTACTGTACCCGTGTCTGTAGGTGACTGTACTGTTCCTGTAGGTGTCTGTACTGTACCTGTGTCTGGGTGACTGTGAGTTGGTGGTAATCCTTACAGGGAGGTGCAGCCTGTTGACTGATCTCATACAAACACTCTGAGAGGAGAGTCGACATGATCTCTACACTACTAACACACACTGAGCCCCAAGCACAGCTTCAGAAACTTTAATATGATATTTTGTGTGTGCGTGTGTGTGTGTGTGTGTGTGTGTGTGAAGGTGCTGGCAGACAGGGAGGGTGTGGGAGTGGGTGCCATATGTGCCAACCCTGTTTTCAGGACCTACTGTTTGCCAGTTCAACTCTTTGCTGAGTCACGAGGTGCAGTAAGTAGACGGCCATGGGTTTGTCTAGGATTGAGGGTGTGAGTAGATGTGTGTGTGTGTTTGTGGTTGAGGGGAAGGCTGAGAAATATGGAGAGTAAATGTGTGATATTACCCAGCACTGATTTCCTGACGACTCAAACTGAATTCTTCCACTGCTCTATGTTCGCTACATACTTCAGTCTGAGACTGCCATCATTGAATTTGTTAGTGGTGACGTCAAAATGAGGGGTGATATACAAAACAAAGTCATCAGCGTGATTGCATCATATCTAACCAATCAGAGTATCAAAGCCAATGACACATTTTCTAAACACCGCTTTACCCATGTGTGTTCTGGCTTTGCCCCAACCCATCGGTTTCTGGGACCAATCAGAGTGTTTAGAATGTGTTTGCGTTCTATAAACCGTCTGGGAGTTACTCAGATCCAGACTAATTGCAGAGAATAAACTTACATCCATGGGCGTGGCGTAGCGTTTGGCCAGAGCAAGGAGTTTGAGTAGCCAGGCAACAGCATTCAATGTCGGCACCATGCTCCTTCTGTTCACCTTCTCCTAACCAGTCTCTCAGCCACAACCCTTTCGGTTCCACCTTTCACAAATCTTTACTCTGTATCCGGGCCATTTCTAACGTTTGAGGGGAAGTGAGAGGTTTCTAGTCATAGTGGGTGCCATATGTGCCAACACTGTTTCAGGACCTACTGTTTGCCAGTTCAACTCTTTGCTGAGTTACGAGGTACATTAAGTAAATGACCATTGGTTTGTCTAGGATTGAGAGTGTGAGTAGATGTGTGTGTGTATGTGTGGTTGAGGGGTAGGCTGAGAAATCTAGAGGTTAAATGTGTGATATTACCCAGCATTCATTGTTTACAAGAATGTCGGCACCATGCTCCTTCTGTTCACCTTCTCTTAACCAGTCTCTCAGACACAACTCTTTCTGTTCCGCCTTTCACACATTTTTACTCGGGAACCGGGTCGTTTTCCACATTTGAGGGGAAGTGATGTGGAAATAATATGCTTCTGGTCATAGAAGACATGGGAAATACCAAAGACCACAAAATGTCCACCCTGTTAGATTTTTGTGATGTTTAATTGATACAACTTTTATTGGAGATTTACACATTTGGAGCCAAAGGAATCACAAGACAAAATCTAAGCTGCATATCATTCCGAAAACCTGTCCCCTCTGTTCGTCCCACTATCCTTTACCCCCCTTCACGAGAAGAGAAGGGAGGGGTGTAGGGGACATTCTTTTGGGAATGAAATGCAGCCTTTTGTTGGCATGACTCATTAAACCATAGAGGTAGAAAGGGGGCCCTGCCATTGAGGGCTTTCACCATTTCAAAGTAGTCAACTGGGTGCCTATGGTTTGTAAATGACTTTAGCTATATCACCGCCATCTAGTGGCCACAATAAATGAATGACAAGAGTTGGTTCAGGCCCCAGCACTGCAGGTGGCGGTAAATCACCAATTTTATTAGCTTTACACTTTATTCAAATACAAAAAAATAAAATGGACTACTTTAAAATGGAGATAGTCCATAGACTTAGATAGACATCGCATCATTGTCTCTGTCCCATTATGGTGTCTGTGAGAGCATGGGCATGGCCATTAAGGCCATCTCCATTTGAAGTAGTCTATTTTCTTCTTCTACTACTTCTGTGAGTTGATAAACAAGCTGAAAGGGTCCACACTGCCATCTAGAGTGGGTTGTTTGAACAGGTATAAAGCCAAGTTTGGCGATTTACTGCCACCTGCAGTTATGGAATGTTTCCTCACAAGTATAATTCATTGGCTGATCCATCCTGGTGACCTGGATGGAATTACGTGATCCTTACTTAAGCCATAGGCAGTCCCACCAAATGGACTATTTCAAAATGGCTAAAGTACTCAATGGCACTGCCCATGCTAAAACAGGCTTTTGGGCACTAGAGTCCTCTATCTAGCTCTATGAGATTGCCCTCAATGGCGTGCCCTGTTCTTATTATACACCAGTGGCATGCTGTCAAAGCAGCCGTTTGTGCACATATTCAAAGATTAGTCCTCTTTCTACCTCTATGGAGGAAACCTAAATATCACGTGGTGCTTGCCCTATTTGCAAAATACCGATAGGTGCATAGTCCCGGGCTGCAAACCTCCGAAATCCGCCAGTTTCCACTCTTTTCCAAAAGACTATATCGTATTCCGAAAATGGGTGGAATTCGCCTCCCTACACGGGAATGACGTCTTGGACGGCACTCGGATATGCGAGGCTCATTTTAGCAAAGAATGCTTTAGACTCCATACACTGAGAAATATATTGTGGGACGACGCGGTTCCCATGATTTGTCCCAGCGATAGCCCGAGCAGAACCGATACTTCTTCACCTTATGTTAGCCAAAAGGACGAGAAGAAGCAACACCGACCGAACCAAGAAGTTCAGGATAGACCACGCATGGATTCTTCTGTTGTTGTACAGAACAGCAGGAAGCCGAAGCGGTGAGTAGAGGGTTAATGATGGAGGCTACGTCACTTCAACGTACTGAGCGTCACTTCTGATAGGCCAAGGAAAGGCTCCCGAGGAAAAACAGTTACATTATAGCAGATTTTTGTTATTGTATCAAATAATTCAGCAAAACGTGAACGAACAACAATCAGGAATAGTCTACCTAGTCACGGAAATATGAAATGTGTACTTCATTGGATTTTTGAGAACTGATAGGTGAGTTAAAATGTAAATTTTCGAACGAACTATGTGCTATTGTTTACACAGTAAACTAGCTTGAATTAGGCTAAATCTATTTTGGAATAAGCTGTAGCCTACTTTCAATTTGTGGACATGGCTGGAGTTATGCCTCTACAATGTCAGATGTGAATGTAGACTAGGCTACACGTTGTTATTGATACAGATTTCTTGATGTACAGCTGTGCTACAATGCTAGCTTGTACATTTGTATGCATTTGAGCAACTGTTAAGTTACGTTACGTTATCATTATTAATCCATTACTAACAACACTTATGTATTACATACATTCAGTCTTGTTCAAATAAACAACAATCAATAATTAAAACGCCATGTTTTTCACTCCCCTCTGTGTCCAGTGTGCTTCAGTCAATGGAAGCCGTGATGGAGGTTAAGGAGTCAGAGACAGCCATGATGGATTTTAAGGAGTCAAAGGAAGCCACAATGGACGTTAAGGAGTCAATTTCAGCCACAATGGACGTGAAGGAGTCCATGTCAGCCATGATGGAAGTGAATGAGTCAGAGTCAAAAGAAGCCATTGTGGACATTAAGGAGTCACAGGGAGCCGTGATGGAGGTTAACGAGTCAAAGGGGGCTGTGATGGAACTCAAGAGGCAGTCTTCCTCCTCTGGCGGCCAGGGGCGGGACAGAGACCGGGAGTCGGACAGCTATCTCCAGCACCTCCAGTGTCCCCACTGTCTGCTCCAGTGTAAGAGCCACTGCAGCTACCTCATCCACATCGCAAAGATCCACCCAAGCCGTCTGGACGACACGCCTGTGGGTCGCCTGGGCAACGCCATCTTCTACCAGCGCACGGCACGGCTGTTCCACTGCAACGTGTGTTTCCACACGGCCAGGGAGTTCCCTCGTCTCTACGACCACCTGCTCACCAGCCACTGCCTCTCTGGGAAGGGAGAGGGGGAGGGGGAAGAAGAGGGCGGGGAGGAGGGAGAAGGGGAGGAGCGTAGGGGGGAGGGGAGAGAAGACCAGGAAGGTATCAGTGTAGACATGCTGTCAAAAGACAGTAGTCATCCTCCCAGTGAGCCCAAGGCAGAAGAGGAGGATGAGGGCAAAGGAGGAGTGAAGAAAGTGGAGGAAGGTGGGAAAAGAGGAATAGAGGAGATGGAGGGAGGTGAGGACAATGAAGAGGACAGCCCCATGAAACGAAAGAGAAGCTCTACGGCAGGCAGTGAGGAAGAGGATCATGACGAAGAGGAAGAGGAGGAGCTACAGACCAACAACAACAACAACAACAACAAAAAAAGTGACAAACACAAAAAGCAGGAAGAGGCCTTCCTGACCAAATATATCCAGCGCCAGGGGGGACGCTACAACTGTCGCCTGTGCGGCAAGCGCTCCAAGATGAAGGGCCATGCCATCTACCATGTGAGCTACAAGCACGATGTGCCCAAACCTTACTCCTGTAAAGAGTGTAGTAAGGCCTTCATACTAGAGTATTCGCTACTCAATCACATCTACCACAACCACAGACAGGGCATGTACCGCTGCCTCTTCTGCCCCTTCAGCTCTGACGTGGTGTGGGGCATAAAACGCCACGGCAACCGCTGCAATGCCCGAAGCGGGGAGGGGGAGGAGGGGGAGGGCAGCAACGGGGAAGAGTGATTGGTTAATGGTTGTAGATTCTAGAATCTCTTTGCATTGTGCACCTACTAGGCTAGCAACCCTAGGTACAGTAGATTGCACTGTTACAGAGGTGTAGATTCTCAGTGAAGTATGTATTTACTTCCTCTGTACACACAGTGATGAAGAACGAACGAGCTGTTGATGTACTTTGTCATTCTGTTGACTTTTCCTGATATACTTCTGTGGAGCAGATGGACTCAAATGTAGAATATGTACTTTGTGAACTCGCAAACAGCCTTAATACGTACATGACAGCTGTTGATGACGCATAATGCTGCACAATGAAATTATCAACTGACAAACATGTTGTTGTTTTTTTTTTTTTTACCTGCCTTTATATTATCTTGTAACCTGGGATTTGTTTGTGTCTTGGAAAACATTAAAATAAAAAGGATACATCAATTTAGCCAACTTTCTCTGTCATAGAAGTCTAGACCCACACCTGCAGCACAGGAGGTGTGAAACAAACAGTTTGTTTCGTTTCACACCTCCTGTGCTGCAAGTGTGTGTGTTTTTGGGCTGTTCCTTACACCTCGCCACTGTGGTTTCCTGGACTAACAACAGCTTTTCGTTGTGAGTAGGCTACAGCAGTGTCTCGTTCTTGTATTTTACGCCACATGTAAAGTGTAGGTCCCATGTTTCATGAGCTGAAATAAAAAATCGTAGAAATGTTCCATATGCTCAAAAAGTTTATTTCTCTCAAATTCTGTGTACAAATTTGTTTACATCCTTGTTAGTGAGCATTTCTCCTTTACCAAGATAATCCATCCACCTGATACGTGTGGCATATCAAGAAGCTGATTAAACAGCATGATCATTACACAGGTGCACCTTGTGCTGGGGACAATAAAAGGCCAGTTTTAGAGAATTTGGCAGTATGTCCAACCGATTTCACAACCGCAGACCACGTGTAACCACGCCAGCCCAGGACCTCCACATCCGGCTTCTTCACCTGCGGGATCGTCTGAAGGGGGGTGTGGGGGGTGCTGAGGAGTATTTATGTCTGTAATAAAGCCCTTTTGTGGGGAAAAACTCATTCTGATTGGCTGTGCTTGGCTCCCCAGTGGGTTGACCTGGCTGCCAAGTGGGTGGGCCTATGCCCTCCCAGGCACACCCATAGCTGCACCCCTGCCCAGTCATGTGAAACCCATAGATTAGGGCCTAATGAATGTATTTCAAGTGACTGATTTTCTTATATGAACTGTAACTCAGTAAAATCTTTGAAATTGTTGCATGTTGCGTTTATATTTTTGTTCAGGATATATTTTGTATAAAACAGTACTAGCTTGGTGATACGAGAGGAAACTCATATTGCATAATATTAAGATGTGTATTTAATTTCAGAGCAGGGAGTAGATGGTAGGTGGTTTCCTGTCTGTCTCCACCAACTGTACAGTGTTCAGCCACAGTATTTTCTTTTGCAGTGACACAGATAGCGCCTTTTCACCACACGTGGCAACAGCATGTACACTACAGGCACATGTTCAGTTCCTTAGTGGTGGGGAAGAGAGGGATTTAGAGACTATGTCATTGGGCAAGACACAGAACAAATAGCGTTCTCTCATTTTTACCACATTTCCTGTGTGTTATTGCTGATTGCACACTTGAATGTAGCAGCACTGACAGTGAGCATCACGTGCATAAAGGTAAGTCACCAACAATACATTTCATTAATCAATTAATATTTTACAAATCAATGTTCTTCCATGGAGATGTTAGCTGTAAGTGGTATTCTTAATTATTGGCCACAGTTTTATTTCTATAGTTGTTAACTCACTAACACTAGCTAGGTTTCCATCCGATTGGCGACAGAGTTTCATGCGAATATTCTAAAATCCGCATAAAAACAAAATGCACAATGACGTAGTGCACATACAAATACATTTTGCGGTTAAATTCCCATGTACCGAATAAAAAATACAAGTTAAATGGGTTTCCATTACATTTTTGACTCTACTGGTGGGTTTCTCACAAATACAATGTGCCTTATATAGCTGTGCCTGCTCTGGTATTGGCATATGCGCTCTAGCCAACAGCAAGCAGGGCGCAGATAGCGCCTTTGGCTAGAGCACACGTATAGCCTACGAATATATAGCCTATGAAAAATGTATGCACTCACTAATTGTAAATCGCTCTGGATAAGAGCGTCTGCTAAATTACTAAAATGTCAAATGGTAAGATTATTATGGACAAAATATCAAGATTATTTTTATTTGTCAAACGGCAGAAAGGATCTTGTTCAAATCACTTTTTTTTATAAGTGGATTATGATGATATTGTCTATATGCAGGCCTCAGCAAGTACCTGAAAATCTCTGAACACAGTGTAGTCATGGTGCTTTAAGATTTACTACAAACGCTAGATCACTCATCCACCACTGTGATTTGTATGTCATGGTGCAGTGGACCTCTCTCTCCACCAGGAGACTAATGCACTGGTACACTTTTGTGTACAAAGCATTGATAGGACAACTCCCTTTGTATCTCTGTTCCTTACTGACCAGATCAGTCACTCAATACAGTCTTCGTTCACAGTCGCTGCTGTCCTTGTCTGTTCCTAAGGCAGGAACTGAGATAGGGAAACAATATTTTCCCCATAATGCCCCTTCATCCTGGAACATGCTTCAAAATATATTAAAGTTAGTGTTAGTGTCCTTGCCTCTTTTTAAGACTAAGATCGACGACACTGTTTTTGATAGCTGCAGTTGTTTCTAATCTTCAAATGTATCTGGAACTTGTGACACTTTGTCTTTTGTGCGTATTTTGTTTGTAATATTTTATGTACACGCTTCAATTTCCCTGTTTTGTCTTCTTGCCAGGTCGCCCTCGCAAAATAGTTTTTTTTTTTTTTACCTCAATGGGTCTTACCTGGTTAAATAAAAAAATAAAAATAATAATGTCACCAGAATAAGACCGATATTTATTGGAAATGAGCATCAAGCTCATCACCTTGCACTTTCAACACCTTGTGAAGTTCATGATAATTTATTTCATCTGTGGCGTAATAAACGGCACGCTTTCCGACGAGTCGTAGTGGGAGGACCACACAACACGTCATCGCGTGACTCCAAGTATTCTAAAATCTGATGATTATTACATCAATATTTGCCCATTAAAGCGTTTCCACCGAAATTTCTCGTCTCGCATCAATAATTTTACCTACACAAAAAGACCCCACCTTGTGTAGTATATTTTGTTTTGTTGACATTGGGAAGTTTAAATTGTTCTGTTTCCATCAGGCCTGCCATTAGATTTTTTTATCCTACATGTACTTTACTGTCATAGAAAGGTTGGATGGAAACCTGGTTAGGAACCACGTTTCCATGCACAGTTTTTATGCTAAAGTCATACCCTATAAAAAAATAAAATAATGACAGCTGTGATGGAAACAGGTAGTTTTGGTACAATTTTATAAATGTAGACAGATAATTTGTGCCTTTGACATGGTGGGATCTTTTTGTGTCTGTAAAATGTATTATGCGAGAAATGGTAATGGGATGTCTTTATGCGCAAATATTGATATAATAACCATAATATCAAAGTAAACTTGGAGTTTATGGTGTGGTGTGTGCTCCTCCCACTATGACTCCGGAAACCATGTGGTTTATTAGGCTACAGATGAAATAAATTATGAACTTCACAGGGTGATGAAAGTGCATGGTGATGCTCCTCTCCAATAAATATCGAGGGTCTTATTCTGGTGACATGATGATCAATGCTTGACTGCCGTTTGACAAAGAAAAATATTCTCGCTCATATCGATAATAATCTGATCATGTAGACTAGCCTACCTGCGCAGCATACCCACAGTGAGCTGTTGGCTAGAGCGCACATGCCAAGACCAGAGTAGGCACGTTTGCTATTTAATGCAACAGTTTTTGTGATAAAACTGTCTGTAGTGTTGAAAATGTGATGGAAACATATTGAACTGTAGATTTTTATTCAGTACATGAAAACATAAGCGAAAAAATACATTCTGTGTGCACTGTCATCATGCGCTGACTTTTATCTGCCAACATGTCCCTTTGGTGGAAACACACCACTGGTGGGAAAATATAGTATGAAAATCTGTTGCCAATTGGATGGAAACCTAGCTATTGAAATCAGAGTGGAAAATCAGAGTGAGGTATCATCTCAATGACCGCATACATAGCCTGGGACATTTTTATAACAATTCATGAGCATATGCAGCGTAAATGGTGCAGCGTAAATGGTGCAGCGTAAATGGATGCAGCGTAAATGGTGCAATGAAATGCTTATCAGCAAGCTTCCTCTACAGTAAAAAAAATAGTGCTAAAAAGTAAAATACTAGATCTGGGCGCTCCAACCCTGTTACTGGAGAGCTACCGTCTTGTATGGTTTCACTCCAACCCTGTTACTGGAGAGCTACCCTCCTGTAGGTTTTCATTCCAACCCTGTCCCTGGAGAGCTACCGTCTTGTAGGTTTTCATTCCAACCCTGTTCCTGGAGAGCTACCCTCCTGTAGGTTTTCATTCCAACCCTGTTCCTGGAGACCTACCGTCTTGTAGGTTTTCACTTCAATCCTGTTACTGGAGAGCTACCATCTTGTAGGTTTTCATTCCAACCCTGTTCCTGGAGAGCTACCGTCTTGTAGGCCCTGGACCGAGTTTGGGAAACCCTGTACTAGAGCAATAGGTCAATAGCACGTAGAAGGCATGAATTAGTAATAAAGTACTAACTTCACCTCAAGCTGCATTTCCTGTACCAATTTGTATTTCCACACACACAGATAATAGGCATGATGGAAAGTCCCATGTGAGCATTACAATAACTTTCCCCCTTAAACGGAACATCAGGGGCTTTAGTAACGTTAGTATAGTGTGAGGCAATTGTGAGAGAGGAACACATTGTTCCTCTTTCACATGGTTGAAGTAGCATGGAGCCACACTGTTTCTGCATTCAACAACACTACTATCTTGTTGCCTAACCAATATTTTTAACTTTCTCTAACAGGGTGTGGTTTTGGTGTATTCAAATGAAATGTATAACATTCTCTTTCTCTCTCTTTTCTTCCCTTCTTCATTCTCAGTAATGCTTGTCCCCCAGGCTAAGTGACAGGACCAGTCACCCTGGTCAACTCCCCTTGTTGCTGTGGTTAAGTTACTGTTGTGGTCAGTCACGATGAACACCTCCTCAGTAGCGGTGGCCACAGGGGTCAGCAACGCCACCCTGGAGATGCTGGTCAGTCCTGTGATGACCGTGGCTGTGCCTATTATTTACCTCTCTGTGTTTGTGTGCAGTACCCCCTGCAACCTGCTGTCTCTGGTGGCGCTGCTGAACATCCACTACAAACGCCACACTCCTACATCTGTGCTTGCCATCAACCTGTCGCTGGCAGACCTGCTCTACAGCGCCTTCCTGCCCCTACAGGTGAGTCACTGCCACTACAGGTAACACAGTGCAGTGATAGGTGCCAAGCACAAGGCTGTCTCTGACACTCTGGCACCGTTTACAACTAATCTGCGCTGTCATTGCTGTCACATACCACTAAGTTTCTCCAGAAACTTTTCCTATCTAGTTGGACATAGCTAATATTTGATGACCACTAAGCCCATCTCTCTCTCTCTCTCTCTCTCTCTCTCTCTCGCTCTCTCTCTCTCTCCCAGGTGTTGTACCACCTGTGGGGTAATGACTGGCCGTGGGGCGCTGCTCTCTGTGGCCTCACCACCACAGCCCTCCACTGCAACCTGCACTGCTCCGTCCTCACCACCTGTGCCATCGCGCTCGAGCGCTACTGCGGTGTCGTACACCCGCTCCGCACCAAACACTGGCGCACCGCCCGGCGAGCCGCCATTGCCTGCGTCCTCATCTGGGCGTTTGTTCTGATTACTCAGACGCCCTTGCTCAGGCGTGACCTCACCCTCCGGGTCGTCGAGCTAGACATCACGACCTGCTTCGACGTGCTTCCGCGTGCACTGTTCTCTCACCAATCAGTATCCTATCTCTACTTTCTAGTGATTCTGCTGATGTTCTATGTGTTGCCGTTAGCCGTCCTGGTCAGCTGTTACGTTGCCGTGGCGAGAGGCCTGCACAGGTCATTGCCGACAGCAGCTGAAAGCAGTGGCGATAAGAGGGAAGTGTTGTCAAGGCGACGGGCTCAGACCACAGTTGCCTTGGCAACTCTGTGCTTTGTGGTGTGTTACCTACCAACCATCACCCTTCATGGCCTGCACCTAATCTACCACTCCCAGGGCAAGAGTCTGTACAAGTACTATAAACTAGTGCTAAGCATCAACAGCCTCAACTGCTGCTTTGACCCGTTTGTGTACTACTTTGCGTCGAGGGAGTTCCGGCGGGCTCTGAGGAGGGCGCTGGGGCGGTGTGTCCCACTGGGAGAGGGGGAGGAGGTTGGGAACTCTGAGCTGGTGTCCATGACTGGGGAGCTTAGGGCATCTATAGGCCATAGTTGATCACTAGATGGTCATGCTAGAATGGACAAAGTTTGCAGATGCCATAGCAAATGACCCAAACTGTAAATACAACACTTAAAAAATTAGATTTGGTTATTTTATGGATAGACCCTGTGCGGTCATCATTATAAAGCTGTTTATGCAATTGTTGTCAATGCAAATTTTTATAGTTATTCTAACTTCATTCCGTTGACATTTTTAAATGAATAAATGTTGAAATGCATCATCTTGGTATCAAGTGAGTTTATTACTGAGGCATTGATAAGTGCACAAAAAGGCCGACTAATAACACTACTGTAATATACTGACGTAATCAAACACAAGAAATGCCTGTTTCAAAAGCCTGAATGCCAGTTAAGGTTAAATGAGTACAGACAGTAGAAATACACTACATTACATTTAAATAAATACAAGGAAATACATTCAGTGAAGGCCACTTTGAAAAGAATGGGCCAGTGGGGTCTGTTTTGTCTCGGATAAATATTATGTCATACTATACTTTATACAATTCTCCAACGGTTCAAACAGCTTGTTTTTCATAACCTTCATCGGTGGCGACAACAACAACAACAACAACAAGTTCATTCATTTTAAGCTTCATAAATCGTCACTGCAATCATCAGGTGTATAACTTGCGTTGCTACATTTAGAATTAAGGTACAAGTTGCTACGTCGTCAAGCTTTTTATACTCCAGATCACATTTGAACCTATTCATCTCACCTAAGCTAACATACAATAATGTAATAGACCTCCAAAGTAAAGCACGTACACGAAAGCTTGGGTTTATGAATTGTGATGATGGCTGAAAAAAGCTTCTCTTTCTTCTTCACACTGAGAAGCATTCTCTCAAAACATTTTTCTTTGCAGTTGCTGAGAAAGGATAGGACAACTGTGTGCACACTTCAACATAAAATACACTTTCGCACATACTACATCATATGCTTGAGTATGTACATACAGTGCCTTGCAAAATTATTCATCCCCCTTGGTGTTTTTCCTATTTTGTTGCATTACAACCTGTAATTTAAATAGATTTTTATTTGGATTTCATGTAATGGACATACACAAAATAGTACAAATTGGTGAAATGAAATGAAAAAAATAACTTGTTTCAAAAAATTCGAAGAAATAAATAACGGAAAAGTGGTGCGTGCATATGTATTCACCCCCTTTGCTATGAAGGCCCTAAATAAGATCTGGTGCAACCAATTACACCTTCAGAAGTCACATAATTAGTTAGATTGCACACAGGTGGACTTTATTTAAGTGTCACATGATCTCAGTATATACACACCTGTTCTGTTGTCTTATCTCTTGTTTGTTTCACAAGAAAAAATATTTTGCATCTTCGAAGTGGTAGGCATGTTGTGTAAATCAAATGATACAAACCCCCCAAAAATCCATTTTAATTCCAGGTTGTAAGGCAACAAAACAGGAAAAATGCCAAGGGGGGTGAATACTTTCGCAAGCCACTGTACCAAATAAAGCTATTCATGTACAGTATTTATCTTCATACACACTGAAGGTGTGTCACACCATGAGGAAGACTAAATATGGCCAAAATATGAATGATGTTTCAAATTTAGCAGCAGGACGACTGATATTGCTGGTGAGATCATTTTCAGGAGGAGATTGTGTGCTTCACCAAATGTATCAGTCAATCACAGTAATATAGTTTATATGTTCATTTGAAATACCACCTCGCTTTTTACAATAAAAAAAACAACATAAATTTAAGTGTCTTTCATTTATTTGAGTGTTTTATGTTATGCTTAATAAGTTCTCATTGCAGCGGGTTCTAACCAATCAAATTGTATTTTATGTATCGTATCACAAACAAGGCAAATTAAAGTGTTCTGTGCTTTTTAGACTGAACAATGAAAGCTTAAACTGGCGCCTCCCCACACTCCATCTGTATGTAAGAACAGCAATGTTTTGTGTAAGATCTGCTTGTGGAACAGGAATCACTCAACATCAACAGTAACTATTTGAAGAAGAATACGTTAAAGTAATAAATGACTGGATTAATATCCCTCAGACCCAATGTCCCTAAGAAGAGGCATCATTTCCAATGTCTTCACACTACAATTAAAATACACATACTTTCCTCTTTAATACACAAAATGTAACTTTTGACCTTTCATGCATTCTCAAAGAAATCCGGTCTTTTCCCCTTAATAGAGGTGTAACAATGACCTCTAAAAGGGACAGCTGTGAATCAGTGTCTAGTTTATAAAGAGAGCGATAGACAGATGGCTGGGTACAGCCAGTCTTAAACACTGTGAGCAGAGCAGGCAATGGTGTTAATATTGATTTCCTTTAAAGGCAGGCAATCACGGTGGGTAAGTGTTAGTGTTCTGTACAGGAGGACTGTATCACTGTCTGTCTCTGCTGTCAGATCTCATCAGCTCAGCCCAATACAGCCCTCTATCCTTTCTAATTACCCTTCATTATCTCTCTATACAGTATCACTAAACATTCCTCAATGCAGGCAGCGTAAAGAATGCAGCCATATTACTTCTGTATAGCACTAGCATCAATCTAACTATTCCTTTTAGAACGACTGGCGCAAACACATCCATCAAACCACAGAAAACGCTTTGACATCGCCTTATATTGTCTCAGCCGTCCGTCAATGTACGACCCCTATAGGAAAATAATAAACAATAGACTCAATCCCTTCTTGACAAATTCAACGTTTCTGTAACCGTCGCAGCCAATTCAGGAAAAAGCACTGACCATGCAACTGGACTTGAAAAAAGCCCATTAACTACTGAATGCCAATAATGTCAATACACTTCCAGAATTGACTGGTAATGAAATAAGTCCCACCTCAGTCCATCTCTGGTGAGCAGTACCTTAGCTCCGTTTGACCAGAGGCCTCTCTTCTCTGACATGGTGCCTGGCGCTTCTCTTCTCGGCCCTCCCCTTCTCCCTCACCTTCCTCAGCCTGCGTGGGGGCGGTGTCCCCCTCGACTCACTGTCCTCCTGCGCACTGGACGTGTCCATCCCGTCCCGCTCCTCCGGGATATTGGGAATGGCCCCGCTGCTCCCGTCCAGAATGTTCCTCAGGTAGGGGTCTTCAGGGGTGCAGGTGGCGGTGGTGCCACTCTCACTGCTGCTCAAGTCCTGCTCCTCGCTGTAGCGCCCTCTGCTGTGGTGGGGGAACGAGCCCCGGATGGATGGCCTCTCTCGCTCCGCCTCCCTCACACTCTGCTGGGGCTCGTTCATGTCCACGCCAGAGTCCAGGCTGGTGTCGTTGCTGCTGGGGGGCCGTGGGTGGCGGCCCTGGAGCTCTATGATGGAGTGGCGGACCGAGGCGGCTGGTTTCCCATCCAGGGAGACGAACCAGGCCCTGGGGTGAGGCGACGAGGCCTTGCCTCGGGTCAGCTCCAGGAGAGTACGCTCTGATATCCCCTGGAGTTCACCGGGGCCCCCCACCCCACCGCCGAAGGCCCTCATTCCAGCTGCTTCGTTCAGGGTACCGGGGACGGACACCGAGGACTCCAGGAGGCTGCTGTAGCGGCCCCACACCCCAGGGTTAGAGGATGGGCCCTGGGGAGGGTTCTCCAGGGCCTGGGGCTGGTCCTGGCCGCCCTGCTGGGGGTTGGCTCCCTGGGCGTGGTGGGGGTTCTTAGGGAGGGTCTGGTTGTAGCTGTCCTGACCGCCCTGCTCAGAGTGGGAGTGGGGGTCATAGGCTCCTCCGTTGCGGGGGAAGGTGGCTGACTTGCAGCCTGATCCTTGCTGCTCCCCACCCTGGCTGCTGAAGAGCTCCGGGGCCTGGAGGATGGCCACAGGCTGGTTGTAGAGGTGGAGCAGCTGAGCACCTCCACCCAGGTGAGCTCTATTCTGGTCCTCTCTGGACCTCTCCCTCAGCCGGGCCACCTCCTCACTGTTGACGTAGTGGTGTGATGCCTGGGGACCCTTGTTCCCGCTCCCCACATTTTCATACAGGAGGGCAGCAGACCCACGCCCGGGGTCTTCCACATAGATGTTGTAGTTGGCTTTGTTGTGCCTGGGGGTGGAGGAGGGGTCACACTGGACGCTGCGCGAGGCCAGGCCGTGGGCTCTGTCTCCGGGGTGGAAGGACATCATGGCATGGCCCTCCTCCATGTGGGTGGAGGTGGTCTGGTCCTTCTTCAGAACAGACAGCTTAGAGAACCGTGCTCTTCTCCTCCTCGGCTCACGAGAGGAACCTGGACCTCTGCAGATGACAGACAACACAGCAGGTTGATTGAGAAGCAGAGAAGGTAGTCATTACAGAATGGGTCTTTTTGGGGATCTTTGTGATGTGTACGTTTAACCTCATATAATCAGCATTTGTGTCAACAATTAGTAGAACAATCATGGCCCCTCAAATGTTTTAAATTGTATAACTTACTGTAAATATTTTGTACAACCCCCTTTGCCCCACACGCCCCCATCTGTGCCATTTTCAGCTGCAGTTGCCACACGACCAGTAACGTTAGTTAATTAGATTGGTCTCTTACCCACAGCGACACAGCAGCACAGCCAGAAAGCCCAAGACTATAACCAGAGTCCCCCCCAGTATTCCTATGAGCAGGTAGGTGTGGTAGGAGAGGAATTCCATTGAGCTGGCATGGCCCATGTAACCTAGAAAGGTACAGACAGAGATGTGTTGATCATATTATGTTGATTAAGGTCAATATGTTCTCCAGTATAGTAAGACATGTTTGAAGATAATACTGAGAGTGAGACTCCATCATTTAGTTAATTTGTAACATTCAATTCATGACAACTTCATTTTGGACCGTTACAATCTTTATACCATTGGAGGAGGGTACGGGTGCAGCGATCCAGTAACCTAGGTGAGAAGCCATGTAGGTCCAGACCAGACGATCTTCAACCATCTTCACTATCCCCAGACCCTGGTTCTCCCAAGCACCTGGAGGACAAAACATTGTGAGGAAAATGTATGAAGAAACAACTTGGAAGACGCAGGCAGATACTTCCAGTTCCACAAAGTAAGTGAACACAGGAAGTATTTTGTAAACAAAGACTATGAACAAGTCGCTATGGTAGGTCGAGTTCCAGGCCTAGTCCTTCTGTTGCGCTAATAGCTATATTCGTAAAGAACAGGAAGGCCTGCACATTGTTTATTCTCCCAATTCACCTCTTTATTGACAACGTTTCGATCCGAACAGGATCTTCATCTTCGTTTTGACCAGGAGAAGATCCAGTTCGGATCGAAACGTTGTCAACAAAGAGGTGAATTGGGAGCATAAACAGTGTGCAGGCTTCCTGTTCTTTAAAAGTATTCTTTATTAACCCAGCACCTACTGTATGTTTTTAAGGATGTGCGTATGACCACAAACTTTTCTAATAGCTATATTCCCCACCTGTCTTGGTGTTGAAGGCCCAGGCAGGGAGGGTGTCGGAGGGTCTCAGGTTGGTGGTATATGCCAGGGGCAGGGAGATCTGGATGGGGCCTTTCACCTGGACCTCCTGACCACCAGAGTACAGCAGAGTACTGACCGCTGCCATCGCCCGCAACTCAACACTCCTGAACACTGAACACACATACAACAGTGGAGGCTGCTGAGGGGAGGACGGCTCATAATAATGTCTGGAAGGGAGCAAATGGAATGGCATCAAACACATGAAAACCATGTGTTTGATGTATTTGATACCATTCCACTTATTCCGCTCCAGTAATTACCACAAACCCGTCCTCCCCAATTAAGGTGCCACCAACCTCCTGTGACATACAAACACACGGGAGAGAATTACAACATGTCCAACGTTCAAAAATACGCAGGCTCTACAAACACTACAAAGTTAAAGAGAAATAGTTTTCAGCAAATTAATAGTTTTCCGAGGGCTACTTCAGCTCAGAATCTTGAAGTATTCCTCAATCTTGGAAGTGTTCAATGCTTACTTTCATGTATCAATACCACCTCTCATTCCCATTAGTTGTTGCACTGCACTCCTTGTATTCGATTTGCTGAGCCCACCTGACTTGTTGTGAATGATGCCTGGGGTGCAGTTGACACAGTCCTTGCCTAGGTGGCGCTGCGGCACGGTCAGGTAGGCCATCACTGTGGTGGTGTTACTGCCGTCTGAGAGCATCAGGTGACTCTTGGGGAACTGAACGCTGGGCTGGTAGGAGATGTCTGAAATAATATGAAGAAAAATACAAGATGGAGTTCATTCCCTCTACCAAAGCACTTTTGCCACAGCAGACTAAAATTGTGTAAAGAGTAAGATGTTGTATCACATTTAGGGTTACGTTCAAGTGACACAGTTTCCAGATGCGTGCACTTACCAGGTAACTTCCCAGTGATGAGCACAGAGTCGTCAAACAGCCAGATGTTGCCTTGTTTTTGAGGGAGCAGCGATAGGGTCACAGAGGAGAATACTGTAACACACATGAGGTCAGGTCAGGTAACATTCCAGTCAGGAATCCCTCGACCCTATTGAGATGCACCCATCAAAATGGTACCTTTGTAGTGTCATGTTCCTGTACTTGTACAAAGCCACCAGTAGATGGCGACATTGAATCAGACTTTTTATGGTCCTGCGTATTAGATTAGAGAGAAGGGAGGTGGCCCTCTGCATTTGATGATGCAGAGCATAGCTTGTACCGCCAGTCAGTTTTTTCTTTGGCCCTCTCTCTTTATCTTTCTCTGTTCTCTCTCTCTTTATCTTTCTCTGTTCTCTCTCTTTCTTTCTCTCCTTTTCTCTGCCTTATTCGAGAGAGAGAGAGACAGACAGAGCGAGACAGACAGAGAGAGAGAGAGAGAGAGAGAGAGAGAGAGAGAGAGAGAGAGAGAGAGAGAGAGAGAGAGAGAGAGAGAGAGAGAGAGAGAGAGAGAGAGAGAGAGAGAGAGAGAGAGAGAAAGAGAGAGAAAGAGAGAGAGAGCAGCAGTCTCCTCTTACTAAATACAGCATGTCAAAATGGTGGTCAGTGTCCCCTTAACATCTTATTCAATACAGCTGCAATTAGCTGACACTAGATATGGCAGGGCATTATGGTGTTACATTTCAGCACAAAACACTTGCCTCAGACTCGCTGGCTACACGTGCTATACATAGTGCATCCTGCTTCTGAGAGTAAGAAATCAATAAAATGAATGTAGTGTACAGTATTAAATTGTGCTTTGCTTCAACAATTATACAACGCAAAAACAAACACTGATGCTAATATGCTATGTGACACAGTAGTTGAACACCTTATTTTTGCTCATTGTGCCAAATCAATGCTTTAAAGGAAATGAAACAAACAGCTGTATCATTTAGTAATTTGGGTGAACTATCCCAGTTTAAACTCTATAGAATTTAGCCACACCCGACACCCAAAGGTCAGTTGGTTGGGTACCTCTCAGGGACTCCTCCAGATGGGACCAGACTATCACGGTGCTACTCACTGGGTCTCTTGGTGGTTCTCCAGGGCAGCGGGGTGAGGACGTATCCCTCCATGCTAGCTACGATGGTCAGGCTGAGGCCCAGGCTGTAAGGGACCCTGAGCTGCACCTCTCCCCTCTCCCCAGTCAGGGCCTGGCTACTCAGGGTGTGGTTGACAAACACCTCCACCTGGGCCCCGCCCAGGGGCCGCCGGGTCACCTGGTCCTTCACTAGGACCCTCAGGGCAAAGGGCGGCTCTGGGGAGACACAGGAAACAGGAAGTGAGACGCAGGAAGTGAGGCGGTTGTACATTGCAATGACATATTAAACCTTTATTTGTATGGCTGATTTTCTACACTACAATCGCAGAATACCATGTATGTTCATAGAATGTACCAGTGCAGAACACAACCTTTCTGGTGGAACATATCATTTAGAAAGCCACATACAAAGAGACCAGACTACACTAAAAGACCAAGGAGTTGTATTTAAAGGTGTTTTCTAAGGTTTATCTAAAGGTGTATGCCGGTGTATGGCTTTGTGAATGCAGGGATCCCATTAAAACAGTCTCTCCTCAGATTCAGTGGCAGCTCTATGAATTTTCTCAGTAACCTTTAACTGCACATGAAAAAGTGATGAGAGCTGAAACTGTGAGAGGTGTTGTGCGGTGCCAGACGACGTTCTTTCCCCACCAACACACACACACTGATGCTATAGGCCCTATTTAGCATACAAGGCTGCCTTGACAAAACTGCTTCACAACTGCCACAATGAGCAAATGTGGCCTATTTATAGGCTACAATCTGTTTACTAATCTGATCATAGTTACTCATGAGAATAACTCAAACTAATATGATGAGGCTGAGTCAATTAAATAAAGGACTTCTGAAGCAAGGCAATGGTGAAAAAGATATGGTGTGAGCATGCTGTACTAAAGGATTAAAACCCTGATCATTACAAGCACCGTTTCACACTGGCCATACTGATAATCCCCTAATCTCGAAAACCTTCAAATGAAATCATAACACTTAATCCGATTAGCTGCCAGGGGAATCTGTAGAAGGGGACAGAATATTAGATTGCAGTGACAGTCATACATCTTAGACAGATACTTTATATTGAATGTGTAAGCTACTCTTCAATATGTGAAGACAAAGTTGTTAAAACCGGTGTGCATAGGTTTACTGATAACGGTCCAATCATTGTGTACATTATGTTTTAGAACATCATTGTATTTCTGCGGGGCATTTTTATATGTTATTGTTGTAGGGCTGTAGCCTATGTTGAGTGGGGTAAATACACAAAATACAAAATGTTATAATCATCATCCTATATCGTCCTATATGCTATCATCAATGATAAATTATTATCTGTTATGTTCCGTTATCATGCCCAAGTTTTTATTCTCTCCACATTGAACATTTTCTCCCCACCATTTTAACATGCTGGCCAGGCCCTCAAATCCGCAGCCCAACCCAAATATACCGCAAACATGTCCTGTACCTGGTATTAGGGCAGACGGTGTCTGAACCTGATAAAGGGCCGTCTGGCCGGTGATGGATCCGTCTGGGACAGTGGCGATGGCATTGTCCTCGGCGGCTAGCAGCGCGGGTAGGCCGGTGGCGGTGGCGACACCACCCTCCGCCGCCGCCCTCACGACACCATCCCCGCAGGAGATCACAACCAGCAAGAAAAGCAGGTACAGGCGGTCCGCAGGCATGGCGAGAGGGAGCCGCGAACCAAAGACATAACTGCGCGAAATGAGACGGAGGAGGAGGAATGGAGGCCTAGTCTCGCCGCTTTCTTTGTCATGGAAACCTCATGGTCGAACGGAGGCAGGTAACCTACGTATGCACAGAAAGCAGGCAGGCTGGTGGTGTTGACGCGCTGGTGCTGATGCTGTGTTTTCGGGGCGTACAACAACAGAGACGGGAGATGGTGCTGTTACATCATAGATAAAGCTCTACAATGCCCTCTGTCGGAAATGTCTTCTTGTACATAAACAAAAGGATGGTAGCCTACACATTTTATCAATTGATGCCAATTAAAGCCACACTCTGACAGATGTGTACAATCAAATAGTGTGCAAAGAGTCGAACAATTTAAATAGAGCAAATACATCCCATGACATTTTCACATGGAAATACCAGAATATTTATATTTAATGTCTCCGTTGCTCATGGAATGACTTTCCATGACTGCAACGTTACTTTTTTAATAGTTTTATTTGAAGCTATAGCTTACCTACATTGTATACAAAGTTATTTTATGAGGAAAAACATATCCCTAAACAATAGTAATAGCATTCATTTTCTGATGCCTTTTCTCAGGACTGAGTCTAAGAAAAAAAATCTATGTTAATATTTGTGGGGTAAAATCGAAAGGGGACATTAATATTTTATTTGAAGCACCACTTACCAATTATAACAAGAAAAACCGACTTCAACTGTCTTGGCTCAGCCTGTTGACAGTTGACCACTAAATGGCGACATTGTATCGTTTCCCAACACTGAGACAAGCACATTGGTTGAACTTGAGTTCCATATCTATCTTCACAAGTGCGTCAAATTCAACGAGAAACAGCAGCATTGGAATTTTCCCCTAGTCGGCTCGGGGATTGGAACCAGCAACCTTTCGGTTACTGGCCCAACGCTCTTAACTGCTAGGCTACCTTCCATCTTAAGAAGACAGCCCACTAGAGGGAGGTAGACTGGATGAATATCCCCAAACTCTCCCAGCCTCTTCTCCTTTTAGAATCTCTCTCAGTGTTTTTTTATATTTTTATTTCACCTTTATTTAACCAGGTCAGCCAGTTGAGAACAAGTTCTCATTTACAACTGCGACCTGGCCAAGATAAAGCAAAGCAGTGCGATAAAAACAACAACAACACAGAGTTGCATATGGAATAAACAAAACGTACAGTCAATAACACAGTAGAACATCTATATACAGTGTGTGCAAATGTAGTAAGTTATGGAGGTAAGGTAATAAATAGGCCATAGTGCAAAATAATTACAATTTAGTATTAACACTGGAGTGATAGATGTGCAGAAGATGATGTGCAAATAGAGATACTGGGGTGCAAATGAGCAAAATAAATAACAATGTAAATAACAATATGGGGATGAGGTAGTTGGGTGGGCTAATTACAGATGGGCTGTGTACAGGTGCAGTGATTGGTATGCTGCTCTGACAACTGATGCTTAAAGTTAGTGAGGGAGATATGTGTCTCCAGCTTCAGAGATTTTTGCAGTTCGTTCCAGTCATTTGCAGCAGAGAACTGGAAGGAATGGCGGCCAAAGGAGTTGTTGGCTTTGGGGATGACCAGTGAGATATACCTGCCGGAACGCATACTACGGGTGGGTGTTGCTATGGTGAACAATGAGCTAAGATAAGGCGGGGATTTGCCTAGAAGTGATTTATAGATGACCTGGAGCCAGTGGGTTTGGCGACGAATATGTAGTGAGTGCCAGCCAATGAGAGCATACAGGTCACAATGGTGGGTTGTATATGGGGCTTTGGTGACAAAATGGATGGCACTGTGATAGACTACATCCAATTTGCTGAGTAGGGTGTTGGAAGCTATTTTGTAAATGACATCGCCGAAGTCAAGGATCGGTTGGATAGTCAGTTTTACGAGGGCATGTTTAGCAGCATGAGTGAAGGAGGCTTTGTTGCGAAATAGGAAGCTGGAGATGCTTAATGTAAGTCTATAAGGAGAGTTTACGGTCTAACCAGACACCTAGGTATTTGTAGTTGTCCACATATTCTAAGTCAGACCCGCCGAGAGTAGTGATTCTAGTCGGGCAGGCGGGTGCAAGCAGCGTTCGATTGAAGAGCATGCATTTAGTTTTACTAGCGTTTAAGAGCAGTTGGAGGCCACGGAAGGAGTGTTGTATGGCATTGAAGCTCATTTGGAGGTTTGTTAACACAGTGTCCAAAGAAGGGCCAGATGTATACAAAATGGTGTCGTCTGCGTAGAGGTGGATCTGAGAGTCACCAGCAGCAAGAGCGACATCATTGATATACACAGAGAATAGAGTCGGCCCGAGAATTGAACCCTGTGGCACCCCCATAGAGACTGCCAGAGGTCCTGACAACAGGCCCTCCGATTTGACACATTGAACTCTATCTGAGAAGTAGGCGAGGCAGTCATTTGAGAAATCAAGGCTATTTAGTCTGCCAATAAGAATGCGGTGATTGACAGAGTCAAAAGCCTTGGCCAGGTCGATGAAGACGCTGCACAGTACTGTCTTTTATCGATCGCGGTTATTATATCGTTTAGGACCTTGAGCGTGGCTGAGGTGCACCCATGACCAGCTCAGAAACCAGATTGCATTGTGGAGAAGGTACGGTGGGATTCGAAATGGTCGGTGATCTGTTTGTTAACTTGGGTTTCAAATACTTTCGAAAGGCAGGGCAGGATGGATATAGGTCTGTAACAGTTTAGATCTAGAGTGTCACCCACCACAGGATGTTTTTGTGCTGGTCAAGGGCAGTCAAGTCTGGGGTGAACCAGGGGCTATATCTGTTCTTAGTTCTGAATTTTTTGAATGGGGCATGCTTATTTAAGATGGAGAGGAAAGCACTTTTGAAGAACTTCCAGGCATCCTCTACTGACGGAATGAGGTCAATATCCATCCAGGATACCCGGGCCAGGTCAATTAGAAAAGCCTGCTCACTGAAGTGTTTTAGGGAGCGTTTGACAGTGATGAGGGGTGGTCGTTTGACCGCGGACCCATTACGGACGCAGGCAATGAGGCAGTGATCGTTGAGATCCTGGTTGAAGACAGCGGAGGTGTATTTAGAGGGTACATTTATCAGGATGATATCTATGAGGGTGCCCATGTTTATGGATTTAGGGTTGTACCTGGTAGGTTCCTTGATAATTTGTGTGAGATTGAGGGCATCTAGTTTAGATTGTAGGACGGCCGGGGTGTTAAGTATATCCCAGTTTAGGTCACCAAGCAGTACGAACTCTAAGGACTGATGGGGGGCAAGCAATTCACATATGGTGTCCAGGGCACAACTGGGGGCTGAGGGGGGTCTGTAGCAAGCGGCAACAGTGAGATACTTATTTCTGGAAAGGTGGATTTTTAGAAGTAGAAGCTCAAACTGTTTGGGCACAGACGTGGATAGTATGATGGAGCTCTGCAGGCTATCTCTACAGTAGATTGCAACTCCGCCCCCTTTGGCAGTTCTATCTAGATGGAAAATATTGTAGTTCGGGATGGACATTTCTGAATTTTTTGGTGGCCTTCCTCTTCTGATTGAGGGTTGTGTCCCAAATGGAGCCCTATTCCCTATATAGTGCACTACTTTTGACAAAGGCCCATAGGGACACGACATAGGGACTCAACACTCCCCTTCCGTGTCCCAAATGTGATGTGTCCCAAATGGAGCCCTATTCCTGATATAGTGCACTACTTTTGACAAGGGCACATAGGGTCCTATAAGTAGTGCACTATAAAGGGAACAGTGTGACAATAGGGTGCCATTTGGGACAGAGCCAGGGAGAGTCGTGTCCGTCCACAACACTAGCCTAATCAGTGAAGAGGATGGCAGTTAAACAAGTTTCATGGGTTAATTAGCCAAATGAATAGCCTCTCCAAACGGCTCAGTGATTCATGCTTGTGCTGTCCCTCTCTCCCAGTTGCAAATTGCTTTGAATTGGATGCATTAAATCAAATTAATTTCTGCCAGTCATGGACTATCAGGGGGGCTATTTGTATTTTCTAAGCACTGCATAGCATAGCAGAGACAGAGCGACTGTGTCGGTAATTGTGGAAACATGGTCCTGTTTGATAAATAGCATCAAGGTAGTTCTGCTGTTGCTGATATTGTTGTTGTTGGGGACATTGGAACTTGTATAGCCCATTCAGCAACAGTGAGGACAATGATATTTATGGGCTATAACTTGGACTATAATGGTTATGCTACTATTGACAAAAATCTATTTGCTCATACAGTTCAGGTGCTTTAGAGAAAATTAAAGAGTTAAAGGAACTTAAATCAGAGTTCAAAAAGGTTTTTACTATACAAGATGCTGCAACATTGTGTAGGGCTATAGTGTACGTATGGTTCAAGATCCAAGATCCATGATCCATGACCCCCCCCCCATCCACTCCTTTATCCCCATTGAACAAATCCAGGCTGCCTCTGCCTCATCTCCCCCTATATCTGTCTGATGAATGGCTTTCCGCTCAACTGGGTTTAATGGGTCGCTGTGAGCCTGCTGCAGTCCAGATTGGGCCCAGACTCTGAGGCTCTGAGACCAACGGTACATGTCCTCTTCTCTATTCTGCAGAGAATCTGTTTAGACGATGGATACAGGCACGTAACCTGAATACTGATAAAAAAGAAAACACACCACAATACCCATTATTACCCTTAGGCTACAGTGTTACAGATGGAAGTGGTCTGCCATGAATCATCTTAAAGTCATGTTGGTATTCACCACCATGTGTTGTTTTGCCATTGGATATACAGGTATCATACTGCATTTGAGGTTGGTTAAAATAATACGATATTGTATGTGTGTGTGTGTGTGTGTGTGTGTGTGTATGTGTTCATGCGCGTGTTCTATCAGTGCCAGTGCTTAATATACCATAGTGGCATCTTGTTATTTCCTCTATTGGAAAGCCAGAGTCTGAGTTGTTACAGACAGTGTATTGGATGATAAATAAAGGGTTGATCAATACGGATGTCACAACAGTGCAGAATAACTGACAACCCAGTCTCACAGAAGGAGGGCAACTAAAAAGACAGTTTTCCTCTTACAGATTGGAGCCGACGCAAATCCCATTTGACATTTTAGATTGTGATTATTCCTATCTGTTGATGTGCATTAATGTTCTTTGAAGTGAGTCATGCTGGGGGAATGGAAAGGTAATGAACGCTGTCTTATAGAT